ACCGACCAGATTCGATCTCCTTTTGAATCATATCCTAATATTATTTAAAAACAAACTAAAAACCTACACACATATTTATATCATTAGAACCGTAATTGAAAATCCTATAAAATGTTAAAATGATATATACAAAGAGTAGAATAATACAGATTTCTCTAGAAGTGACAAATTAATATTTAGACAGTTGTATTACTTATTGGCTATTATGCCTATATTATTTCTTGCGAAAGTTGAAGAAAATTAAAAGAAGATAAACTTTCATAATCTTAGCAATGAGGATCACTTTTTAAATTTTATTAGTTCTAGTTAACCGTTATAACAATTAAGTACTAGGACATTCAACAGAGCAGTCCAAAAAAAAATTATCTTTGAGTGAGAATAACATTGTAACAGTAGTTATCTACCAGAAACTAAAACACTAAAACTAACGCTAATACTAATATAAAATCTACCACTAATACGTTATGCAAGGAATACTATTGTTTATAAATACTAAAATAATTTACTAAAAACCCCTAAATAGGTTTTTAAAACTAAATAAGTTTTTTATAGATATATTACTTATAGAGTGTAAATTTTATGATATCCTACTTTCAAAATAAAAGTTGCAGTATCTACTATCCTGTAACTCTGTAAGTTTTAGCATGACCAGTTCAAAATTCAAACCGATAACATTCCTACTAAGTTTTGTTATAATCTGCCAAATTGTTGTACAAAGTAAATGATACGGCAACCCTGTTACTATGTCGTTTCGTTTGAAGCGTTTCGCGGCCGAACGTAATGCTATCTATCGATGATAAATACTACCACTGTTTCAGATGGAGCCATCTCCTTACATTACACATTTGAAGGCGGCGGTTCAAGACATAATTCTTGTTTAACGAGATTTTTCATATGTTTAGGAAAAAATATTTAAAGTTTTATTGCAAATATTTTCCACTTTTACAGTTTTATATATGTTGTTATTAAAAAAATTTTTGGTTTCTTACCGGAAGCTTTATTATAAGCAGAAACATATTATTTTTTCCTATTGGGACAAAACTGTAAATTCAAAAATTTTCAAAAAATTTCCAAGTATTTCTTATAATTATATCTTGATGCTGTAAAAAAATGAACAAAATTATATGTCTGGTTTTCCCGCTTTATACTTGGAAAAAAGTAGTTTTTTTGAGTTTTTTTTTAAACGAAAACATGAAGTTTGCTTAAAAGTTGTCAAAATACTTCTAGTCATCTCATACACCTTCTCAAATTTTTTCAAATTTTTTGAATTTGGAATTTATCTTTTGGGGGGTGCAGATCAACCTTAAAAACCCATTACAACATATTTCACTTTTAATTTACACCAATTTACACTTTTAATTCAATTGGCAATTCCTTAAGTGGCCAATCACTGTACCCGTTACCCTATTTACAGATCTTTTCGTAGTTATTTTCTTGCGGAAAAAGTTGATTTTATTCAGAAGAAAAATATATTTTCTAGAGGTTATAACAAGCCTAGAAACATATTTTGACATTCTTTCGGATTTTCACTTCAGTACAACCGACTACTTTTTAGATGTACTATACGATTGGATTATATATACTATTATAAATGTTGTAAGTGATATAATTGAATTGTAACACAATGACGGTATTAGATTTTGATTCGATACAGAGCAGCGACAAGCCGCATATACGTATTTCGACCTCTTTAGGTCTCCTCAGTACGGTATAGCCACTACTCCGTTTTATTTCTTTACTTCGTTTGGAGTACCAGAAATCGAATTCACTACGAATATTGGCCATGATGAACGGCATTTGGAATGCAATTTTAGATTCTCTTGCCGATTTATTCATCAAGCTGTTTGCTTCGCAAGTTTTAGGAAGCACGGTGGCTGATATTTGAGTTCGATTTCGCCAGGTAGAAATCGTATGATTTCTCTTTTTGATATAATTGTTTTTAGTGGAAGAATTTAATTTAAAAAATGTTACCATTTTTTAGCCATCAACACATTCGGCAACACTCATGGGAAAATACTACAAAATGAAAAGAAAACGGCCGGGAAAAACTCTTTTAAATAAATATGGGAATTAATAAATAAAAATGAAAATTAAGATGGAATTGGCAGAAAACCAGATAAGCAGTCTTTTATTCAATCGCCTTCAATCAAATATGGACATTGGGCGAGAAATAATAAGCAAAAAGCAGAAAGATACACAAATCATGTGGAAAAATTATTTTAACCTAACAAATAACGAGACGAACCATTAAGGACAGAGGTAATCAAAGAGAACTTAAAAATCGATATAAATTGGGACAATATTCGAATCTTACATCTCATAAAAATATTTCAGAGTGATTACTACTCATGAGCTCAAAGAAATTACTACAAAGTACCTCAAGGAAGTGTCATGGGTCCGGCCCTTTAACTTTTGTATAAAAGTGATATTCCTACGCTAGATAGTGACATTATAGTAACGTTCGCTAATGAGACTGCCAGCATAACAATAGGAAAACCTAGTCAAGAAAAATTACAAATAGCCAGCTGTTAATTGAATCCATAACTGGAAAAGGAGATAGCGCATCAGATTAAATGAAATAAAATCAATACATGTAAACTTTACAAACAGAAATATTTCAAACAAAAGATTTCAGTTAGCATAAATGACAACCAAATTCCATATTCAAATACTTTCTAAATATTTGGGTATGACAAGCTTCGCTGGAGAACTCATGTTAAACAGAAAAAAGAACTCTGACTTTACAAAACAAGCTATTACTGTATAATCAAGTGTTGGAATTATGGACCTATTTTATTTATTTAGCGTATGGATAATTACAATACGATAAAAGTAGTATTTAGATAATAATTATGTTCAAATTGGAATTGTAACCTAAGTTAAATATTAAATATTAATGTCCAAATTGGAATTGTAACCTAAGTTAAATATTAAATATTAATGTCCAAATTGCACAGCCATTCAATTGCACCAGGAGAACACTCTGCAAAATCTTGAAGGTCTCCGCTGTATCTGCGGATTGGGCAATCCGCCATGATGTGTTGGATGGTATGTCTCGGGGATCCACAATCACATTGTGGGCTTTCTGCATGACCCCATCGGTATAGAGAATCGGCACATTTGCCATGCTCTATGGCATACAGTTATGTGGTTGTAATAAACGGAGTAATAGAGCGATTTCAAAACAAAGGATTAAGGAACATAATTAAACAGCAGTTAAAGGATGGCGAAGTAGCAGGACCTGATAATATACAATTAGAACTACTCAAACTAATGGACAACGAATCAATAGCAATAATCGCAAAGATATTCAAAAACATATACAACTCTGGAGAAATACCAACAGAATGGCTGAAATCTGAGTTTGTTGCACTTCCAAAAAACCAGGAGCCAAAAAATGCGAAGATTACCATACTATAAGCCTCATGAGTCATCTCCGAAAATTGTTTCTAAAGATAATTCTGAAGAGAATCTATAAGCTGTGTGAAAGTCAAATTTCCCCCAACCAGTTCGGGTTCACAAATTCTGTTGGTACTAGAAAGACTTTGTACTCAGTACAAGTCTTATTACATAGATGCAGAGACGTCAACTGCTACGTATACGCATGTCTGGTTGATTACGAGAAAGCGTTTGATCGAGTACAGCACTCCAAGATGACGCAAATACTAAAAGAAGCAGGAATTAACAACCAAGATCTGAAAATAATTATAAATCTTTACTGGAATCAGACAGCGCAAATCTCAAGAGTTTAAGGTGAACACACTCACTATTTGAAAATCATGCGTGGAGTGAGGCAAGGCTGTATTTTGTCTCCTCTAATCTTTAATCTGTACTCTGAAAGAATCTCTATCGAAGCTTTGCATGAGACAGAAAAAGGTATTCTACTAAATGGTTACCTGCTAAACAACACCAGATATGCAGATGACACCAAGACCTTCAAGTTCTTATGAACAAAATCACGTATTACAGTCAACCATATGGACTCAATATAAACGTTAAGAAGACAAAGCTTATGATAATTAGCAACAAACGGATAAAAGAAGGTCAACTCTACGTCAATCAATCCCCTGTAGAAAGAGTGACCCACTAAAACGACCTCGGCACCATAATAAATGAAGAATGGACCAACAACCAGATTAGAGCACGGATCGGAAAAGCTAGATCCACCTTCAATCAGATGGGGGCCTTCTTCAAGAGTCACAACCTCTCTCTTGATATAAAAGTAAGAATGTTGCGATGCTACGTCTTCTCTGTCAATTTTTATGGTCTTAAATCGTGGAGCTTGAACGAAGATAAGTGCAGAAAACTAGAAGCATTTGAGATGTGGCTATATCGGAGAATACTTAAGATCCCGTGGACTGACCGAATCACAAATGAGGAGGTCCTCAGAAGAATGAATAAGAACCGAGAGGTACTGACCACCATTAAATCTCGAAAGTTACAATTCTTCATATAATGCGAAATGAATCCACATATGCTCTCCTTCAAGCCAACCTGCAATGAAAAATATTTGGAAAACTAGGTCCAGGAAGAAGAACATCTTGGTTAAAAAACCTCAGAATCTGGTTCAATACAACATATGTGCAGCTTTCCGCGCTGCGGCAGATGAGATAAAGATTGCTATGATGATCGCCAATATTCGTAACGGATAGGCACGCCAAGAAGAAGAACTAAACAGCCTTGTTATACAATGCAATAAAGAAGTTTGCAGGGAATCATAAAGCTAGACTCCACCAACATACGAATCCTGAGGCTATCTAGCTCCTCGATGTCTCATAGTTAGTGCAAAGAATCATAAAAATATATCCGTTTGGGTTGGTGTAAAATACTACAAAATTGGATAAACTTTAGACCAAATCTGGAGGACTCTAGAAATTTACAAGGTTAAATTTTTATAAATAATATAAATATTAGGCTAAAATTCAATTGCTCACTCGTTCGATTAAAGAAATTGTAAAAGCACAAACAAAAAATTCGATAGTACATATTTTAAGATGTACCTGGAAAATTTGCTTTCAAATAGTTGCAGTTGTGACAAGGCGTCATCTGGTCTGAGATGTCCTTCGACAGGTTTGCTCTTTTCCCAATCGTTTAAGAAGTCATTCGTGCGACTCTCCACTGCTTTGTCTTCGGATACGATCTTCTGCTGGAGACTGGCTACTTGGGTTTGAATGCTAGAATCCTTACGTTTTATGATTTCGTTGAAAGCGCCCCATTCTCCTTCCAAGTTCTCCACGTGTAACCTATAATTATTTACAAATAAATTCACTGAATTAGTATGGTAATAACTAAGAACGGTTCAATCATTTTGCTAAATTCGATAGCAGCTTGATCATAGGCATAAAAAACCAGTTTTTCCAATAGTCTTCTATAGCCTTGAACTAAGATCCACGGGGAAATGATAGCGATTACTTTGGGTTAATATTGAATCGTACTGAACATTGCAACAGTATTATCTGTTTATTATGTTGGCTGTAAAAATAACTGCAGTTGACCAGCGGATAATAGTTGAACTATGAGTCAGTACAGACAGACACATACAATCAAACGACGTGGGACGTATAGTAGGTACATACAGATTGAACGAAATAAATTCGGAACATACGAAATATTATGTATTTCGGCTCAATTCTGCTGTAGGTGGTTGGCCAACAAAAGGTTGTCAAATAATTATATTATAAAATCCAATATTTCAGCGGGCTGCTGGATTCTGAAATCATAAAAATTAAAAGCTACACATAAATCTACGATTTTATGATGCTGTCAAACCACTTATAGTCCAGGAAATGAATCACTTCACCTCGCAATTTTTTTGTCCTGCGTGGATTGACTTGAAATTTTAACAGAAGGTAGGTAATAGCCTAAGGATCAAAATCTATATCGAACCAAAGTGCGCCAAAGCCTTGGGTGTGGTTGCCACCCCATCTCGGGGGTGAATTTTTTTTTTTACGTTTTAACTACAGGTTTCGATTAAAAAAGTGATTCTAAACAAAAAATATTCTATACATTTTTTTTGTAAAACATATTTTTCAAGTTATTCGCGATTGAAAGTAACAACTTTTAGACGAAAAAATCGACGTTTTTAATTGATTTTTCGCGAATAACTCGAAAATGGTGCATTTTATCAAAAAATTGTAGAGAACAAATTTGTAGCTTTTAAAAAGAAAAATACAATTCATTTTTTAAAATGTTTTTGTGATATAATAGGAACCGAAATACGGCCTATCAATGTTCAGCGGTTTTCTTCAAATGCCAAATTTGAAAGATTCAAAGTCAAATATCGGGAAAATGATGTATTTTTGAAAGAAAACTCACAAATCCTTTTTTAAAGAGCATAAATAGACCTATCATAAAAAAAACTCTAGCTCAAAAATTGAGTGAGTTATGAAGAAAATAAGGTCAATACCTCATATTTTTACAAAAAAATCGATGAAAACAACGCCCTAACCACCCCCATAATTAAAATCGATCTTCACCCTTCTGCAATTCTCTTTGTACATGTATTGTTAATACGTCCAAGAAGTTTGACCCATTTAAAATGCTTAGTTTTAGAAAAAGTACAGCTTAAAGCGAGAAACGATTTCCAATTTCATAATTTTTACCCTTCTTTTTTTAAATATCCCCGAAAATACTGAATATATGAAAAAAAATGTACTAAATTGTAGCTTTTTTAATGACTAAAATTTTCCTTTATTTAGATTTGTTGTACAATGAATATTTGGCGAGATATAGATAGCCGTTTAAAGCATAGATTTACGATCAAGCACCATCTTTTTCGAGCCCTTTAAACTCACCCCATTTAAATACCAAAGATTCCAAAAAGATTTAATTCACAGATCCTTGTAGCTCTTAAAAACCTCTACAAAATCGTTTTTGAAGAAACACTCTATCGTTAAAAATGAAGGAAATACGTTAAAAAAACCTATTAATTTTTTTCCGGAAAATTCCATTAGTATAGTACAGTACATTTCGGAGCATAATAATCTACATAACCGGTATATTAGGTAGTGGGGCGTTATACATTCAAAATTTTAAGCGTTCTTATTTTGAAATCCCATACAACAGAATAAAACATCTGCTCATATGTCTATAGCTTGGCAATTAAAATATCAGAGCAACAGATTGGGGATGGTATTCCAAAGATGGTTTGTTATTACCCGTACGCATAAACAAACAACCTGCACCCGATGAACTTTTGAAAATTATTTTTTGCCAATGCAAAAAAGGATGCGGCGTTTCATGTGGGTGCAGAAAAGTTGGTTTATACTGTAACTCTACTTGTTCTGGGTGCTCAGGTGAAGGGTGCAATAATAGTCCACCAATAATTGAAGAAGATGAGGATGACATAGATCACGATGAAGGTGTAATTGATGACGAATAAAATTAATATTATAATTGTTTTACCTATAAATGTAAATATTTTCAACTATTTATGTAAATGTATAAGAATATATGGTGCCTTTTTATGTTGATAAATTTTTTTGTATTTAATTCTACTTTTTAAAATTTATATCTATTAAATTAGTTTATAAAAAGTGCAATGTTGTAAACGGTGATTTTCAAAAGTTGAAAAGTTGCAAAATTTTGGCAAAAAAATTGTTTTCATCTATAGCACTCATAACAATTGATTTTTAAGGGTTGAAAATGTATGAAATTGTATTTTAAAGTATAAAAAAATAACGATTTAACTAATCCAAACCAAATTTCACTCATCTTAAGATTTGTAATGTTATTTTACAATTTTTGAAAATTGGGGGTAGTTTTCACCCCTAAGAACAATCAGGATTCATCGGCATGACATAAACTATAAAGCAGAGGGTGAGTTGAGCTTAATTCCAAATTTTAATGCAAATCGTTCCAAGGCCAAATCATTTTCTTCGCATTACTAATTTTTTTTACATTAATCTCTGAGCTTTTTGAGATAAAATCGTCGCTTTTTAAGGGTTGAAATATGATGGAACTTTATTCAAAAGCACGAAACTATCATTATTTAATTAATTCAAACCAAATTTTACCCATATTCAGATTTAATATGTTATTTTATAATTTCTGACAATTAGGGGTAGTTTTCACCCCTAAAACCCTTCAGCGCACTTCGGTCGATATAGATGTTGATCCTTGGGCTATCACCTACCTTCTGTTAAAATTTCAACTCAATTCATGCAGGACGAAAAAATTGCGAGGTTTTAACTTTTTTCGAGCTTCATTTCCTGAACTATTATCGCTTCCTTAGACAAGCACTTCTTTGATACGCAAACAACATTGTTGCTAGACAGATAGTTGAACGATATTTTATACAATGTCTATACCCAGGTATGGATTTATTTTTGTCTAAGTTTTATATTTGTCCACTATTTCAAATGCAGTTCAAACAGACATATATAAAATTGTATGATCCGTTTTAAATTCGTTCAATCTGTATAATGTACAAAGCTTGCCATCAAAAAAATACATATATACAGAGTGTAGTAAAAAACATGATGTCAGGTCAGAAGTGCACCAGATCATACTTTATATTTACTTAGTTTACATGCAAGAAATTAATTATTTTTAACATTTAATGAGTGACTTTCGATGGCAATTGATTGGTTCCCCCGTCGCAGGCGATGGAAAAATCACTAGTTATAATAAATTTATATAAAATACACCAAAGAACTGTAACCATAGTAATACTATATTTGTGATATATGTAAATTGAAAAAAAAAACATCAATTGCTGAAACTCATTGATTATGGACACACAATTTAAATTAACTTACCAATTTGTCGGAAACTGGAATCTCTGTCGTTCTAAAATCCTCTGACCCTCTTTGTAAATATCAACCTGCTTCTCCCAAGCCTTCATGTTTCGTTTTAACTGTTGAACGTAAGTAATGAAGCTAACGGCGTCTGAGGTACTGGCAGCCTCGATGCTTTGGAGTTCCAAGTCTGATCTTGACTTCGAAACATTGGCGTGGAAAGATGTCATTTCGTTACTAAGTAGACCACCGAATTTGCTTAAAGTTTCTTTGTGCCATGAATCGTATTTTAGAGAGACTTTGCTTTGGACTTTGGCGAAGTCGATAATAATGGGACCGAATTCACGACGGGTGTCTGAAGTGTCGAATGTCGTACGGGTTTTTCTGAAAAAAGAAAATGGAAATTTAACTCAAAAATCAAACGCAATATTTATTTATACATATCAATATTAAATATATGATCTATATTTCGACTGAATACTCATGTTTAACAATATTAGATCGTTTACATCTCTTGTACTTATTTCTAAGATGATGTAAGCTTCTTAGAGATTGTGTTCGACTAAGGTGGTAACTATTTTTGTGCGAACTAAATCCTTCAAGGCGTTATGTTGTTTTTCGGCAACATACTTAATTTTAGATCAGTAGAACACATGAGAATGCAAATGTGACCAAACTACCAATTTCTGGATATTGTTCGACATGCAAAACACATGTTCTACAATAATTTCTGTGATCCATATTTATCTGAGTTATTGTAAGCAATATACATTATCAAAGTAAGATAAAAATTATTGTTGGCATCTTATACAGTATATATTTTATTGTAATAATAATGAAACCGTTAAAACTGGTCATGTTATTTTCATATTCATTATTTTTGTTTTGTTGCTTATCGGTAACATTGTGCTTTTAGATTTGTATGTGCCGGAGAAGTTTTTTATGAGGTGATTGGTGAATGAATATAACATCCCTTCTTAATCTGTTCACAAAAAGGTAAAACATACACATCTTGAAATAATTAAATTGAAAAAAATATATTTCTAACTAAAAACTGTTAGTCGTTAACAATTATTGAATGTAAATTACTATTTAACTGGGAATAAGCCACAATTAAAGATAAAAATACGTTTATTGACGTTTCAATTTCCACTTCGGAAATCGTTCTCAAAATACAAACAATAAATTAAACAAATTTTGTTTTTTGTTACATAGTGAAAAATTCTTCTAATAATTTAATTTTATCTGACTCATTTATATTGACAATTCAGACATACATTATGCATTTTAAACTAGACGACTTTAAAATGATATTGCCAATATTGTTGAGTTGCGCTCCTGGGACGACTTTACTTAATAAGATAGTTCATTCGATTACATGAACTAAACTTTAACTTTAGAATATCCGTCAGAAAAAAATCATAGCATGTAATTCGTCTTTAAAAAGACAAACACATGACATGATGACAGTAAAATTCTCCTGTTAGTGATTCCATAGTAAATTATGAGGGAAAAACCAGGTAAAAAAACCTCATAATACTATCCCGACATGGTAAGTATTTGTTCGTGCATTTAGTTTACCTTCAATAAACACCAAAATTCTGATTTTATATGTTTCGTTATCAGAATTTTGGTGTTTATTGAAGGTAAACTAAATGCACGAACAAATACTTACCATGTCGGGATAGTATTATGAGGTTTTTTTTCCTGGTTTTTCCTTCATAATTTACTATGGAATCACTAACAGGAGAATTTTACTGTCATCATGTCATATGTTTGTCTTTTTAAAGACGAATTACATGCTATGATTTTTTTCTGACGGATATTCTCAAGTTAAAGTTGATTTCATGTAATCGAATGAACTATCTTATTAAGTAAAGTCGTCCCAGGAGCGCAACTCAACAATATTGGCAATATCATTTTAAAGTCGTCTACTTTAAAATGCATAATGTATGTATAAATTGTCAATATAAATGAGTCAGATAAAATTAAATTATTAGAATAATTTTTCACTATGTAACAAAAAAACAAAATTTGTTTAATTTACTGTTTGTATTTTGAGAACGATTTCCGAAGTGGAAATTGAAACGTCAATAAACGTATTTTTATCTTTAATTGTGGCTTATTCCCAGTTAATAGTAATTAATTTAAAATGCCACAAGAAAATAGGTTCAGAACAAAATTATTGAATGTATATGACACATTTTTATTTACAAAAAAAAGGGAATATAAAATTAACTTAGGCTTACTTGATATCATTTAAACATTCCATCCATTTGCCAATATCTTCTCCCAGTTTTCCGTAAAGATTATCAGCTTGCAAGTCCCAAAGCGATTGATAGGTCAACCATTCATTCACGTAGTTTTGAACCTAAAAATACAAATACATTGTCAATTTGAGGATCAAGTCAACTATTTAAAAGTTACCTCTTTAATTTTAGAAGCAATTGCACTGTAAGCCTGGTTCAGAGGTTGAGCTCCACCTGGCAACTTCGTTAATATATTTCTGTAGGTTTCTGTAACAGGTTTATCGACGCCAACTTGATACCTGCTACTTTGCAACCTCTGCTGGGATGTAACGATAGCTTGCCATGCAAACAACTGTTGCATGATCAAAAATCTGGCTTCTTCGATGCTTGGGTACAGATACATAGTTTGGTTTGTTATTCTAACTTCATGAACCATAGTTTGGATCTGAGGATCTCCTCCTGGTTTGTGTGTCGGTTGAGCAGGTGCGTCGGTATCCATGCTGTGATCGATTTCCTTCTTGTGGCCGCTCAGTGCATCGGTCCAGGCTTCCACTCCAGCTTGTAGACGTCTTGCTAAATTCTTCTCAACCTAATTAAACATTTTCTGGTTAAAAAAGTAAAATATTTTTAGGGTAAAAAACGAATGTAAGTAATATATTGTGATTTTTATCTGCAAATACAAAAAACCCCAAAATCTCAGTAATGATCTCTTTCGGTTACTTTCGTATACAAAGCAGTATCTTAACAAGATAAAAGTTGCCAAGATTCGGGGCTGTAAATGGATGTTCTTGGAGATCACTGTACACAACAACCAATTTTGTTGTGACTCTTTTGCAAAAATGGATCTGGAATTGCCACGGAGAAGCAACGTAATTCTAGTCGGAATGGCAAGGTTGAGTAACCAATAAGTACCTCGATTTTATTTAAGGAGATTATATATATCGTAACTTATACTCTCCCCATTTTGGTCCAGGTTCTACATTAAAAATTTTTCTTTAGAAATTGATTCTTTTGATCTTTATAATTAACCCAGACGTCCACAAAGGTTCTTAATTCAATAAGTGTTTTTCGGTTTCATTTTGTTGCAATCTATCGAGGTTTTTATTAAAAGATTTTTCAAGTATTTATCCTATTGAATACGTACCTCTTCGTCTAATCTGCTGACCCAGATGTGTAAGTTCGAGTACTGTTTCAGAGACAGATCATCGACAGCATGTTGAATCTTCGAAAGAATGTCAGCAAATGTGTTAGCAGAATATGGACAGGTCTCCAAGGATCTTACGTCGACTTCTAACTGTTCACCTACTAATACCAATTCTTCTACCCTCTCTTGAAAACTTACGACCAGATCTGCATAAAAAGAAATGTATTAAAACAACACTGTCCTCATTAATTTAATGCCTTACAATAACTGAAAACACTCAAGAAATGAACGCAATTGTTGTTACTGAGGTTTCGTCTGCAACCGAGACAGACATTTTGAAATCGATGCGGAAGCGCATTTGTATTCTCTCCCACTTTCCTTTGATAATGATTGTAGTTGCAGACGAACTTCAGGAGCAAACAATTCAAAACACGACGTTACTCCACGATAACAATGTAGTTTTATATTAACATTACTTTGATCACAATTATGACAATAACTATCTTCATTTGTTTTTAAAGTTTAAGAATAACTATCATATACAGTAGTCTCTCTTTATAACGATTCCCTATATAACGATAATTCCTCTATAACGATGAAAATAGTAAACTTGGTTGGTTCGTCATAAGGACAATGTATTAATTCTTTCTCTATACCGATATCGTTCTTCCTTTATAGCGATGACTTTTCAGCGTTCAATAGTGGATGACAAATGTGATATTGTGCTCTCGGTGGAGGAAAAGTTATCGATAACTCGAGCAATAGAGAAAGGTGCAAAGCAATCGGATGTCGTTCGCCGTACGGGGCTGTCTCAGTCAACTGCGGCTACGATATGGAAGGACAGAAAAAAGTGGCTTGAAGCGAAGATGGAGGGCGATAGCAGGAAGAATTTGCGGAAACCTCAACACGAAGATTTAGATCGCGCTATGCTTTAGTGGTTCCAACAGCAGCGTATGAACCATATTCCACTTTCTGGGCATGTGGTCAGGACAAAAGATGAGTTTTTTGCAGCTGAGCTTGGAATTGAGAATTTCAAGGCATCTGAGGGTTGGCTGAGCAAATGGAAACTACGGCACAAGATTAACTACGGGCAAATCAGCGGAGAGCCTCACGATGTAAACAAAAACGTAACGGATGATATTCTAGAAAACGTGTGCCCTGGACTGAAGGTACGATATTCGTCAGATGAGATTTTCAATGCTGATGAGACTGGATTGTTTTTTAAAATGACACCCAACAAAACTTTAAAATTTAAATCGGAAAAGTGCATTGGTGGAAAACTCTCTAAGGAACGCATCACAGTTTTAGTGACCGCTAACATGACAGCTTCGGTGAAGTGAAAATTGTTAGTGAAGTCGAAAAACCCACGTTGCTTTAAAAACATAAAAATTTACCCGTAACCTATAAAGCAAACAAGAGTGCGTGGAGAACTTCGGAAATTTTTGAAGAAGCGATAAGAAATAAGAAATAAGAAAGTGCAATTGTCCGCTCATTCTGTAGTGTGCGGCCTTCAAAACATTGAACTTTGTTTTCCGCCAGCAAACACAACGAGTGTCCTACAGCTAGGTTTTTAGGATTTCCTTGTCATCCGTGATAAGCTGTCCACTGTCGTTTTGAAGGAAGTTTCCTGTTCTTGCTTGGTACCCAGTCTTGATATCTGAAACTCCTTTGAAGAACTGTCTCGCTTGTTTGTTCTTTCTTTTTTCTTCTATATCTCTGATTATTTGTTCCTGATACTCTCTCTTCTTCCTTTTCATTAGTTTTCTTGTCTCTGTTCTTCTATTTCTATACATTTCCTGTTGTGGGAGGGGTTTTGTAGCATGTTCCTTCTAGCCATATTTCTTGCTGTTATGGAGTTCAGGTAATCATCATCGAACCATTTTTTTTTGTTTCGTCGTTACTGTCGTTTTGTCGATAGTATGGATTGGACAAGTAATAAATATAATGATCAAATTATCTCTTCATCACAAAGTGATGCACTTTGTGATGATCTATAATATCACAAAGTCATTATCTATATTATAATTATTGTATTATAATCAAGTTAAAATTTTGCACAAAAAGCAGGTACCAGATAATCAGATACCAGATACAAGATGTGCTTAAAAAAGCATCCATGTTATTTTAGTAAATAGAAAATTTTAGTGTTGAATATACAATACTTTACCTGAAAGACGTTGTACATAAGGATCCAACTTGTAACTCTCCCAGACGAGTTGTATGCCCTCCGCAATAACTTGCTGAACCTCTTTTCGCATGCCTGCTACAAGAGGTATAATGCTGGCTTTGTCTTCAATCTAGAATAAAGGTCGCTTTAAGTCTGGATATTAAAATTTAATCAATAACAAACGACATCTATGTAGGGAGTAAGCCAAAGTTTTTGGGGAGAAATATATTATAGCAAAATAATAGCAGAGCTTATATTTAATATACACGTAGCAGCGTGATAAGGTCATGATAATACTAAATACGAGATCTGGATTGATGTAATAGGCATACATGCAGGATATTAGGGCGCAGTTATATCCAAAATACTGTTTATAACAAGAAAGTAATACTTCTTCAAAGAAACAAATTAAACTATAAGCTTTAGCTAATCGTTCTGCGTATATCGATATATTTAAAATTATATCATATGGGCAAAAAGATCTAGTATTTTGAAATTTTCCAATTTTTTTTTGTAAGCATTATTATTTGAAAATCATTTTAGATTACTAATGTTACTCATATAGAAGGCTAATGTACTTAATTGGATTGAAATATTTTGACGTTTATTCAGAATTTAGTGCCATTCGTGCATTTTATCATAACAACCATCACGTAAGGGGAAAACCGTAGTAATTCGGTTATTTCTGGTTTAATTTATTAAGTTCAATTAAATATTATTTTGATTTAACTAAGTTTAAAACAAGTTTACCACCAATTCGACACTGCGATGAAGACCAAGCAGCACAGATTGAAATTTTGTACGAGGAAGGATATAAACAGAAAGATTTCGCACGACGTCTCAGGAGAAGTCAATCTATAGTTTCGAATACTTTAAAAAGGTACCAAGAGACAGGAAATTTTGTAAGAGGGCCTGGTCAAGGTCGCCATAGGGGCACAACCGCAATTCATAACCGTTTTTTGGTTCTTAAATCTACACGAAATCGCACATTGACATCGATGCACCTTATAAATGAGCTACTAAATGTTAGACTAGTTAACGTGAGTTCAAAAACAGTTACACGAAGAAAAAAAGAGCAAACTTACAGCCTAAACGCCCTGCCAAAGTTCCACGTCTTCTCCAAAATCATAAAGCTCGTCATTTAGAATTAGCAGACATTTGCTCGTCATGTAGAATCGAAAACTGGAGAAAATGTTCTTTTCATTGATGAGACCAGAATTCTATTATGGAGGCCAGATGGTCGAAACCACGTCTACACAACCACATGTCGCTGCCATAGTGATCTCGATTTTCATTTCATCTTTCTTATTCATTGTCCAAGTCTTACAAGCATACAATGCCACCGGTCGAATGACTGTTTCATATATTCGAATTTTTACTGCCTTGCATCATTATCATCAATGGTGCTACAGCCCTATGAAAGAGCCTCGACCTTCCCAAGTCTATTACGCCAGGCAGTCCTATCCATTGCCAACCGTTGCCAGTTTGCTGCGCCTATCTTTCTACCATCCTCATCTACACCATCCTTCCATCTGAGTTTTGGCCTACCCCTTTTTCTGCTTCCCACGGGTTGTGACATAAGAATTCTTCTAGGGAGGGTTGTTCTGCTGTGATCTTGCTAGATGTCCTGCCCATCTTAATCTTCCTATTCTTATAAGAGATACTACGTCTTTACCACCAAATATTTGTTTATATCTGTGGTATACCTCGTAGTTGGATCTCCTCCTCCAAAGACCATTTTCACAGATGCCACCAAATATTCCTCTCAGGATCCTTCGTTCAAATATAAGCAAAAGGTCTTCGTCTACCTTGGAGATGTCTTGGATGTCTTGGACTGCTTTGCATACTGTTTTTAATTCCAAAAGTTTGTTTAATCATCCCATTGTTCTGCTCTATTTTATTTCTTTTTTCTCTTCAAGAGAAAAATACTTGATCCCAAATACTTGATCTAGCTGACATTTTCAATTTTGTAATCCTTTCTTCCTGTTTTTAGTGTGACGAATTTATTGTCTTTTGTTATCTCTCCATACATCTCCATATAGTTTGTTTTTCTTTCATTCATAAACAACCCAATTTTTTTTTGTTCTCAAGTTTCTCAAGTTCTGTTTTTATTCTTGTGCGGAGAAGTATGATTCCAGCAGTTTGGATCTTACTTTTTTTATTGGCTTAAAGACAAAGTTAAACATATCGGTAGAGAGCGGATGCCTTGTATTAAACCTTTTTTAACCTAAAACAGATTTGACCTACTTCCTTCTATGATTATTCTATTCTTTGTTTTTGCTAGCGACATCTTCAGTAAGGTAATCAACTTTTTTGAAATTCCTACACTTTGCAGGGCGTTATACAACTTTTTCCGACCAAAAAATTTTTAAGATAAATATTTAATCCACTGTCGACCTTTCTGCTCTAAACACTCTCTGATATTCACCTAATGTGTCATTCTCATGCTTTTTCAATTTATCACGTATCATTTTTGCTAATATTTTGTACACAACATCAAGTAGCGTTATCTCTCTGTAATTTTTCTAAAGTGTTCTGTCACCTTTCTTGTGTATTAGGCAAATTACAGCATTACTTCATCTGTCATTTTTTCTTCTCGCCAACTCAGTATTAAGTTACTTACCTTTTTTGTAGTGTTTCTAGTCCTTTCTAGTGTTTCCAGTTTTAAAATTTCTGCTGTGATTCCAATTTTTCCTGCGCTTTTACAATTTTTAAGATATTTTATTGCTTCTTTTGAGTATTAAAATACATTGCCGAATTTTTCCAATACTCAAACCACGTGTATGTTAGCCATACTCTTGCAGATTTGGTGTATCAAAGAAGCATGTTCTTTATGACTTAGTTGAATAATATTGCCCCATTAATTTTTTATATCTAATTATATTGCTTGGTTGTAGTTTTGAAACGTATTATTGCTATATTCCAATATATCTTTAATATCAGCTCCCATTCGTTAATTCTTTAAGGTATCTTATCAAATATAAATATAAGTTATTCTCACTATCAACTTAAAGAAATACCATATATGTACTCTGATTCATCTGTTTTTTTTTTCTAATCATTGCCCTCATAAACAGATTTTGACTTTTCAAATAACTTCAATTATTAGTTTGAGAATGATATGGAAAAAAATATTTGACTAAAATTTTTGTAGACTTTTGTAGAATTTAAAATTAATTTCTCTTAATAGGTTACATAACTTCAACTAAAGAATCTTACAAATTAGCTACATTTTACTGCTATTTATCATTCAGAAACTTAGTTATTTTGTATTTTAGACAATATTAGTATTCCCAACTCAAATATCTAAGTTTAAAAAAGCTTTTACAAAAAGGAATATAAGAATTGATAGCTTTAAAGCACGCTAATAAAATAATAAAAATAATAATAATACAAAATAGTCTTCCTAAATCGAACGCCAAAACAATTTAATATATAGTATATATAAACATATATGTCAAAAACTAAACGCCAATCCAAAAATAATAACATGCTGGGGTTCTTGGATCCATGCCATAACCAACATAGAACATCTACACCAAGTAATCTACCTTAACACCACTAGCTGCGCTAGTCCTGTTTGTAAGCTAATATTAAAAATTATTATTTAATACAATTATAAAACTACAAAAAGTATATCACAGCAATTTAAGTAATTTACTGCAATCATTTGCCACCAAAGAAAAGAAATTAATTAATCGGTAATTCTGGAGCTCAAACTGTATTTTGATCACTCAATAGGGAAAAAAATAATCAATATGTCACATATTTCATATTTCAAATCATGACTTCACAACAATCATGTCAGATCTTTCTAAGGAGAGAATTCAAATTGTGCGACCCTTCTAAAAAATCCGACTCGAAGGACCACTCAATGGAGTCATAATAGTGTATAGATCCTGTTAAACTCCAATGAGGGAATGACTATAATGAATTTCTATGGGTTGCTAATAAGGGATCAGCGTATTAGAATAAAGAATACACACTTAGGGATTTTTAGTCTTCTTATTTAAAATACGAACAAAAGGAGAATTTATCTAGCAGTTTTACGCAGTTATGAACTAGTACGAAGTATTTAATTGTTATGAGTATGTTATACCGCACACAATTGAATTCTTATAAACTTTTTATGTGCTGTTAAAAAGTTGCCGGATTACTGGTGACGAACTAACCTGTTTTCTGTTAAACTGCCGACACTATAATAAACTTTCAGGTAATCAAAGGCATTCACGTGTGCGACAAAAAAATGGGTTTGCTTAGTAACGTCACTAAGCGAGGAAAAAGCGGGCAGTTGGTACGAGACACTTAGGTCGTGAGGAGACCAGGTAATTAAAGGCAATGCAGGTAGTAGCGAAAATAATTGGGATAACTAGGATATTCGGACAGAGTGGAGTTATAATATGATGGAACAATGGAGAAAATTTAAAAACAAAGACAACAATAAATACAGAGAGATCAACCACGAGATCAGGAAGATGATAAAGCAGACAAAAGAAAAATACTTTGAAGAGAAATGCGAAGAGATCGAAGACCTTCAAAATAAATATGATCTGTTTAACCTACACAAGAAAGTTGAAGAACTGACAGGACTAAGACAACAAAATCCCACTGGTGCACTTCTGGATAGACATGGGACTACTATAACACAGACGGACGTGAAAGTACAAAGATGGGCAGAATACCGCAGAATACGAATTACGTCAAAAGAAATAGGTCATAATAGCTATGATGATTGCCGACCTCCGCCGCGGAGATGACACTTGAAGAAGAATAATTGATCGACGAAATAAATTGAACTTTTCACAATAAGTAAAGAAAGATAAAGAAGAAGAAAATAGAATATGATATTTATTTTGAGTAGTATTCTAAGAATTTCCATGCATAATTCAAAGTATCTGACATTAGATGTAATTTTCCTACAATATTGTGCACACGTACGTTTAATTGATACCGTTATATAAATGTACCTAAACTTCTCTTAATATTGGTTTTGAAACAATTGTTTAAAGTTTTTTAAAGACTATTTATCTTAAAAAATAGATTCCAATATATATTATTTTATATTCCACTACAGAAAAACCAGACTCTTTGGTATCATACGTTACTACAGATTTGTTAAATTACTTTTGTCTATGAAAGAAACACTTAAATTCTTCTATTCATTACTATTAACTTCAATATTTACCTTCTCAAGCGTCATCTCGTATGTCCTAACACTCTCGATGAGTGAAATGGCAAATGGATACAGTTGGTTGGCCTGATGCGCCTTGTTGACAATAGCCAAGGGCACTCTGAATCCCAGACATTTCAGATTTCTAACTTCTTTTGCCAAAGTTATGATTTCTGGTAGGAAGTTGACTTTCAGTTTCAACACGTTGCCTCTACCACTTCTTGAACGGACTGCTTCGATGGTAAATATTCTTCCGGAGACGCCTAAGTTGCGCTGTTGAACGTTACGAGCCCAATCGTCAAATATTTCTTGGGTATTAAGTTTGAGACGGAAGCTGTCTCCATCAGCCTTAAGTTTTTGTCCTTCTATATGGTTTTCCCAGCCTTTACCTATAAATATTTCAAATTAAATATATTAACATCTAAACTGATAAAGGTATACAAGTTAAAATGAACCTCTTATTAAAGCATAAACATATTCAGAAGTTGTCAGTTGCAATTTGTTCGCAGCAATATCAAAAGAAGAAATATTCATAATTAAGAAATACATATTCGACATACGAATATCTTACCTAAAACATCCTCTACACGTCTCAAGTATGTGGTAAGTTGGTGATCAATTTGTTTCGCCCACACTATAGAACCAGCGACAGGAGGAAGGTCTCTTACTTTGCTTATTTTGGCGCTATTACTCTGCGGGTATTGCACCTATAACAACAACAATAAGTTTAAGGAGTGTATTCAAGTCAGAGCATTCAAGTTTTTACAAATTAAACATTTATAGCTTTGTGTGGAAGATGTAAGGTTGTTTGGTTAAGGAAGGCTAATATTAAGATTAAGAATCTTGGTAAAATTGAAAATCTCAAATTGAAGATTGTAGAGACATAAGGCATTCCATTAAACCGGCAACAAATGATCTTTGTCGCATAAAAACTAAGTATTGTTGTTTTTATCTTTCTAACACTTATTTTAATTCATTTACACTAACACTAAAAACACAATTAATTTATAATATTTATTACTTAACGCTAAGAATGAAATAATAGTAGTAGTAATAGAAATTTATTACTACAGAAAATGCTAGAAGCTTTAAAAGAGTGCCGAATAGATCACCGCTACACCACTGTCATCAAAAATATCTATGATAATGCCACGGCATGCGTCAGACTCCATGAAGATACACACAAGTTCAAAATTCATCGCGGAGTTCGCCAGGGCGACACCATTTCGCCAAAACTGTTTACAACATTATTGGAATACATGTGTAAGCGTGCAAACCTAGACGAAAAGGGCATAAACATAAATGGAGAGCAGCTTAGTCACCTCAGGTTCGCGGACGATATAGTCCTGATAACAGACCGCATAGATCATGCCATCGAAATGTGCGAAAGACTCCACCATACCATGCCTCTACACAAGTGGGTTTAAAGATCAATAACTCAAAAACACAAGTGATGACAAACCTTGTTCTGAGTGAGAACATCAACATAGCTGGAACAAGTATAAAACAAACATCAGCATACAAATATCTGGGACACGAAATTCGCTTAAGTAGAGATAACCAGACCAATGAACTAATACGTAGAATAGGGTTGACATGGGCAGCTTATGGAAAGCTAAGAGATGTTTTCCAATCAGCCCTTCCCATCTGCTTGAAGAGAAAAGTCTTCGATCAATGTGTGCTGCCAGTTCTAACCTATGGTGCGGAGACGCTAACACTTACTAAGACGTCCGCAAACAAAATTCGAACAACACAGAGGGCAATGGAACGGTCCATGTTGGGATTAACCCTGAGAGACCGAATACCCAACACAGAATTGCGCCGTAGATCGGGAGTAACCGACGCAATCAAAAGAATATCAACCTTAAAATGGAACTGGGCAGGGCACGTCGCGAGAACGAAGGACGGCAGATGGACAAAACGCATTCTTGAGTGGAGACCCAGACAAGATGCCTTTAGAAATAGAGGACGACCACCAACAAGATGGACGGATGACCTGAAACGGACACATCAAAATTGGATGCAGGCGGCTCAGGACAGAAATTTGTGGGGTGAACTACGGGAGGCCTATGTTCAGCAGTGGACGAGTATGGGCTGAATGATGATGATTACTTAACGCTACCAATCCATTACAATTTTATTAGTACAAAGGTTAGAGAACATCTTGGTTAAAGAACATCAGAATCTGTGCAGCTTTTCCACATTTCTGCGGATAAGATTGCCATGATGATCGCCAACATTCGTAACACATAGGCACATCAAGAAGAATAAGAAAGAAGATTAAAACCATATCTGCCGGGAAAAAATAACCACTAAAGAGCAATGGTAGGAAATATAAAATGAATTTACAAACAAATAAATATAATTTTGCATTTTCTTTTATACAACTTAGTTACCTTAAACTTTTCATGAAGAGCTTCGATGTCATCTTTTACCCTTTGTATAAGATGCGTCTGATATTCTCTGATGGCCCCTCTGATGTGAGGTCTAACGAAGAGAGCATTGAAACGAGAGAAGATTCTGAACATCTCGTTGGCATTCTTAGCAGTACCGAGTTGATCACGAAGGTGAGCTGTGATTCTGGTTTCGACTCTGTCAATACGTTCTTCATATCTATAAACAAATAATTACATTAAAATGTAATGTTCGTAGTCAATGTGGGTAAAAGTATTTTTGGTTTTGAATATGTTACAAAAAACACGACTATTTGGTGTGTTACTTAAGAAACGATTTAAAATGTACCTTTGAACGGCAGCATCCCAAGCATCTTGTCCTTCCTTGGAGATATCTAGACAATCTACTTCTTTGACATTTTCATATGCTAAATTCACTTCCTGTAAAGAAAAAACTAGTATTAAAAGTTTTCATTTTCTTAAATTGTTCCAAATTTAAAATTTACGATCGTATGAAACTATTATATTCGTTTGTATAAGGTTTTAACTCTTAAACATTAAATTCAAAAGAGGCTTACAGTGCACTAATAAGTCAATATACGAATGATTCATAATTGAAGTGACCTTAACGGTTTTATATGCTGTTGTTTGTACTGTTTGTTGCCGACCGTACTTTGTTAACGGACAATCATTAGATTATGTGTTCTCGTATAAAGACTTATAAAGATTAGAATATTTTTGTGAATTTTTTCGTGTTTCGAGATAATTCCATTCAACAAGAATATAGTAAATATATACCTCTATGGCATTAGCATCGGCTGCATCAAGAGAGAACGTCGGCTTCGGTGGTTCGATGTCGCCTCCTTCAATTGGCACAGCGTTTTCTTTGATACTGGGCCTTAAAACTCGAACGATGACAGTTCTTAATTGTTCGTGTTGTCTTCGGAATTTGCGCATCTGATCCATCCTACTTTGGAGTTTCTTGTGCTGAGGTGAGATACGCCAGACCATTTTCATGTGTTCGTCACGTTTCTTCTTCATGATATCTCTGAAATAACCAATATCGATAGTTTGTACTTTGATCTTGATAGTTCATAGATATACATGCAGCATACGCCCACTATAGTGAATTTTCGTCATTCGACGAATCATTTTAGTTATACTAGACTACATAAACGAAGATAAAAACAGACTGGATATAGTTATAAATGAACAAATATTAAGAAATGATCTTCAGCATAAAGTGCTGAAAACGAGTTATCTACAATTAATATGTTACCTTAATAGAGCTTGCAGCTTCTCATATTCATCTTCCCATATGGAGAACACCTCAAAACATTGAGTCATAACTTTCTCAAATTCATCAAACGGAATGTGCATCAGTCTTCTCGTGCCCAAAACTTTGAGTAATTGGGCACCCAAGTCTCTTGAAATAGCTTCAACGAGCCTCAAACATCTCTGAATGGGATACTTCGTTGATCTCACTTTTCTCAAATGGGCGAAAATCAGTTGTACAGCGGCTCTGATTCTCTCCAGTTCTGTAGCTGCTAATAAATCGTTAATAGGGAAGTCTTTCATTAGGGGATTGTAGTCGTTAACGGTAGCTGTAAAAGAAAAATACAGTACTTTTAAATAAAATAAATAGTTTAACATTCGTGATGCAGTTTTTACCAAAACACTTCTGATATATTCATGTAACAAATTATATGCTTATCATTAAAACTTATTTGTTTGCTTTTCATACTTTATCATGCTTTCTTAGAACTGGGAAAGTATCCAGACCTAAGAAGGATTCTCCAACGAAATATGATGTAGAAATTAATTGGATATGCGTTAAGGAATCGTACGGATAGGGTGGTATAGATAACACTGAATCTTGTTTATGGCATATCAGTTACCTCGGCTCTTCGTGTAGCTTCTTTCCCGAGAAAAATAAAATCTTCTAAACATTTTAGCAATTTCAGAAAGTTATGGAGTCGTGAATTTCTTTTTTTTTGTAATTTCTTAGTTTTACTTTAATTTTTAATCTTTGATATATCTGTTGTGGTGTCATTCGTTGTGTTTTAAACGTGTAGTTAAGTTGGATCTAATACATGGAAGTTAATTTATCAGGGAGTTTTCAGTTAATTTTCTGAAAACGTAACGATTTTATTTTTTGTTGAAAATATTAATTTTAGCTTAGTAGTTTTACACCTCAGTAAGTCAAGGTTTTTTAAATCCGCCTACCAGTTCATTGAGTAGATTTACTACCTCAATGCTCTTGTTGCCGGTCCTAATCCCGGATAAAGGAGGAAGGTTCTTGGGCAAGATTAGCACTTTAACAAGTTAAAAAACCTTGTCTTTGTAAAAAAACATATATCAGGTTTTTCTCGGTCATCTTGAAAAAACTTAAACCAGTCAAAACCAAGTGAAAGTAATAAATAATCATTGCCATACACTTATTTTAATAAATTATAAGTTTCACTAACACTTTTTCATTCATTTCATTTAAATTTAAGAGCAATTGGTTGCTCTTGTGCCATTTTTCCAGCGTAACAAAAATATGGCAATACGGATTTATTTAAGAAGCAAGAGTTACTCTCTCGAAAGAATATAATTTATGCCAGCTGTCAGTCTCGATATTTAATAGTCATACCTCTCAGTGTGCATAAAAGAGGTACAGGAAAGAGGTTTCAGCAATAATTTATTAACGAACTAAAACAAATATATGAATTTTAAAAAGAAACCATTTTACTTACCTATGGCTTGTTTAAGACCAGTGTCTGTATCAAACGAAACAGTTGCGTGGAATCTTTTTCCATGTTTGAGAATATCCAAAGTTAACGCAACTTCCATACTTTCACGTTTCTCTTGAATTCGATGAAGAGCTCTTTCTAGGTTCAACCAAAAGCTGATTTCTTGTAAGGCTGTTCCAGAGGCTGGATCTCTATCCAATTTTGTAACCTAAAATAATACCGAAAATTAGAATATGATGAAATAAAAATAATCACAGATAACTCTTCTAACTCGTCAAACTTTACCTTTTGGATTTCCTTGATCCACCTATTTACACCATGTTGCAACTGGTTCAAAAAGTTGGAATCATCTACTTTGTCACTAAAATCAGCTACTTTTGGTTTTCTGCCTTCATCTGCACATTGTTTGATTAGACTTGCTACATATGGATGTACTTGTAGGGTTATTTCGGGAATATCAATGTTTTGCTGCAGATGTAAAAGACCCATTTCGAGTTCAGCGATGGTTTTTTCGACTGCCGGAGCCATTTTATCCCCATCCCTAAAATAAAAACAAATAAAATAATATGGGAATTAATTTAATTGAACCCATAATTTGGTCTGTACATTATTTCACGAATATTGTTCACAAGCGGCTATTAAATTATAAAAGATGATTTTCAGTTATTTATTAAGTCTGCGCAATGTTCAGATATTAGTTATAGGTTAGTTATAGATTATATTAACAATTATATTATACTCCCTCTATATAGAAATATTCATCCTTCTGCACATTTCATACTTTCAAATCTTTAACCAAAGAAAAAATAAATTTACTTACCGATCAGCTCTGCCAGATTCTTTGACATAAGATTTAAAAAATGGTGCAACTGTTCTACTGACATAATCATGTAATATTTCGTACGGTGAGCCATCGCTGAAATTCATCAGCCGAACTTGGGCTCTAATACTTTTATCAGCTTCGATCACTGGGCCTCTCTTAATGCATACTAAACTGGACATTTTTGAGTTCGAATAATGGACTTCATTGCTGACGTAATATGTAACTGGCTCTTTTTCTTCCTCGCCCTCTGGCGGTTGAACACTGTCATCATCTGTAACACAAAAAAATATATAAATCAATCAACTTTTAAAAACGGTTAGTAATAAAAACTGTGCAACAAACATATATGTAACAATATTTTCGTATTGTATCTCTCCTACTTGAAATTGTGTCGATGTTTGCTTGATACAATGAAGGGTGAAAGACAAATCCAAAAAGACCTTGAAGATGGTTACAAAAACCTAATACAGGAAAGCAAGGAGGAGATAAATAATGACAAGCAAACGATAAGGTCTGTTAATGACTAAAATAGTAATGAAAATAATAATGAAAATAATAATATAAAATAAAAGGCCATTTGAAACATTAAAATGTTACTAAAAATATGAAAAATGGATGACGCAGCAACATAGATAATAAAAATTTTTAAAGTCTTTCATGTATCTAGTTTTTAATAAAAATAAGACTAACGTACTGAAGCCTGATGATGGGGCATACTATATTGTAAGCATTGAAACCGGTAGATCAAATTTTACCATTATTAAAAAATAACAACTACTTAAGATTGTGAGTATTGACTCATTTCTCATATACTAATAGATAACAAAGTACAACATGGATTAAAAGGCGATATAAGATATAGAATGAAAGAGGTGAAATCATAACACATCATTAGATTTTTTTTATAACAAAGAGAGGTAGGTAAATGTAACGGAATGACTTGATTTACACTTGTGTGCACCGGCACGCGTGTGCCGTTTGTAAATAATCAAACTCCGTGTGATAAACTGACTTTATTTTGAATTACACAATACATGAATATACGAACGCTAATAATATTATGTCCGCTCGCTCTGAATGCTGTATCACCGATCTCGTCCCGTATTTGATTGCTGTCGTCTTGGGATGTTCTTAGGGACTCGCCTTATCTTCACATATGGCATAATATCTGCATACGCATAGACTGCTGTGTTGCCAAATAGGAAACAATTCATGAATTAAACTTAAACTAAATAGTGGCTTGAACATGTACAAACGAAATTATTTTCTAGCATCACACAATTAACACAATCAATGGACGAATTGCCAAGCTAAGAATACAAAAAAAAATCACAGTTGTATATAGGGTGATAACTTTAACTGGAATAAATTCAATATTAATGTACCTACCAAAATTTTGAAAAATTTCTGAGACACGTCGATGTTTGGAAGCACAGATTGTTTACCGCAGGCTATTTCTAGCAAAGGATTGCGCAGAGGTATGATAAAATAAAAACAATTGAAACGCAATGCAACGACTAATATCGCGGGACCACACACTATGTGAAGTAGTAAATGCAGTCCCATGCATGTTTCTTAAGAGAATAAAATAAATTAAATCATATTAAAATAAATTAAATTACAAACCATCGCTTCGTGCATAGACGATAAGAAAGCTATGTTTCCCTTCCTCCCAGTCACTCCCGGAGTGCCACATCCCGTTTTTCGAGCGAATGGATTTAGTATATGTAGTTATTATAAATTCAAAGAAACAATGCAGCTACAGTGGTTAAAAATACCTCTTAAAGGAAATTGTAATGGAGTATTGTCTTTTTGCGATTAATAAAAGAAAATATGTATCATAGAATATCCTGGATTTCACGGAAATCTTTTATTTCGTTACATGGTATTCAGTCTCTTACTGTTTTCCAGCTATTGATCATAAGGTTCTCATTTCTGACATTCTTCTGAAGTATTCTTTTGTTTTTACTGTATAGGTTTTCATTTCTATCGTTTTCGCCATTATTAGTCTTCATATTATTGATCAATGTGTACTTTTCATCTAATCTGACATGCTTATTTCTTGGTATGACATTCTTCAAACATCCGTCCTCATATATAAACTGGTTTACTGTTTATTTCTTTGTGTCTGGACTTCGATTATTTCATCGTTAACACTATTATGTAATCGTTTTTGCTCCCTTGTCATCACTAGAAATTCAGTCTTAGACTGGCTCCACACATGGGATCCAAGATTGAGTCAACTGTATTCCCACATTCGGTGAGGCAGCCTCATACTGGGTTGAGTATTGGGGCGATATCAGTCTGTTCACCTAGAGCCAATGTCAATGTGTCCAACATAGAAACTGCAGTGGCTGTGACTGTCGTGATAATGAGTACAGATGATTATATTTTTCTACAAAAAGGTGTCTAGGCACTGAATTCCATTTATTCTTTTATTAACTCAATTCCCAAACTTCGTAGCCTTCTATTTTTGCTATATTCCTCATCAAATGTGACTTTAATCCACAGCCAATATATGGAGGTACATATTTTAAAAGTTACATGACAACTCGACACAGTCTTGGCTCCAACACAGTTTTGTCGGTACACACATTGGACAAATGTTGTTGGGGCCATCGTTGGGCCCAATGTGTGGAGCTGGCTTTAGCTTAGATGTTGACATTTTCAAATTGTATATCTCTACCACTGTTCTGAATGTTTCAACCACCTCTTGTATATCTATCTACCATACTATAACTTAAATGTATATCTATCTGCCATATTTTGTTTAATTTTCAAAAAGAACTACTATAAAGAATTAAAAAATCAATTGGAAGTTATCTTAACATTTAGTATTTCTACAAAAGATGTTTTATTTAAAATTTAATTTCCAGGAGATACTTATACCATTAATAGAACATGATACCCTCCAGCAAGATCAACATTTTTGTGGGATTTACTCACATTTTCAATTCATTTTAACTTGTTTTAATGGGTAGACAAAAATTTGATACTGTTCCAAACATTGACATGAAACTGCCTGATTCATTTAAAAAGATATCAATATTTTAAGTTGATATAACTATTTTACAGTGAAACTTGTAAATGGATAATGGAATTAATCATGAAAATTCAGTCATTTCATACACAGCATTCTGTATGAGAAAGGAAAAAGGTTACTCAAATTTTTCAGCCCCAAATTCTCCTACCCTTTATGACAAGATTAAAACTATATGCTATTTCCACTAATAAAAATGTACAGTTTTTTTTAATTAAGTATGGAAGAAAAGATTATTTTTAAACTAAACGAAATACATACTTATTCCAGTCAAATTCTAAGTACTTACTTAAAACTTGTCTTACATATAATAACTGTTTTTTTCCTTTTTTATGATTAATATTTCTCATCATCATCATTCAATCTTTTGCACTTTGCTTGTAATAAATTTGTTTTTTTTAATGCAGTCCCGGACATATGCACAGGCATCTTCCAGTTCTTGTAGCACATTTTTTATTTCCGCAAAGACATTAGCGAAAAAGAAGATGACTTTTTCTCCACCATCAATTGTTATTCCTTTGGTGTTCTCATTAAGCCTTTTGAGGGCGCATTCAGTCTATCTAGCACCCTGTTTAAACTTTGTTATATTTTGAAAACTCATGTATTTTTACAGTCATTGTCAAGTTCTTTTATTTACTATCTATCAAGTTACATTGTCAATTTGGTTATTTGTACAAAAGGCAGAGCAAAATTCATGTGTTATTTGGGTTGGTAGAAGTTCAGTCTGTTTTTGTGGCATGTAGTTATAACTCCGGTGTAGGGTTTAATGAACTAATCAATATATAATTTTCAAATCCTGTTTTGTACCTCTTCTTCTGCAGCATAATAGTTAAGGCATTGTTCTATGTTCCATTTGATATATATTACAGTTTCACTCAAATGTAGAATAAACAGTATTTTAAGTTTATTAACGAAGTCCCATTAGGCCAACAGCTGAGGATTTTTTTACAAAGATACATAATATGATGCTTCTCCCAATTAAGTTTATTATCTATATATAGGCCTAAACATTTTATGCAGCCAGTTCTTTTCAAGTCAGCAAGTTTAATTGAAAACTGTTAGGTTCACTTTTTGATATTACCAAGAAATATGTGAATTTATTTGTGATTACTTTTGGCTTGTGGTGATCTAGCCAGAACTTGATTTTATTAAGATAATTTTCTATTAAAAACTGTGATTCATTCCTATTGTAAAAAAAGAATGAGAAATATATTATCAGCATATAATTTTAATTGAAGTTTCAATTGTAATAATTTGAACAGTTTTTAATCAGCAATACACTGATCATCAATAATGATAATAATAATCATACAATTTACAATGTATTGTTCATATTCAGATTCACATCAGAATTACTTCAGTTTTCCAATGGATAGCATTGACGAAAGCGAGAAGCAAATGACGAAAGCATCATTATTTGATTCATGCATTAACAAATCGAAAGATGTTTTAAATGACAGTTTTACATGTTATTTGAAGACTTCAGTGAGCATCCTGAATTTTTTTTAATACTGCTGCATGTCAAAAATAGTTTTGATTCATCAACTGCTCTAAATTGATAGTACTCAAAATGCCTCCAACATTCCAGAATATTCCAAAATTTTAAAAAAAATTGAAAAATAAATATTGTGACACACATAGCAGGCTTAGCTGGCTTCAGAATCGTGACTAAACAATCATAAGTGTCTATGCTTATTTGTATGAATCATTGTGGTAGGATGATTATCGCATCACAGTAAAAATAAGACAGGTTACATTTTCTTTATTGCTGACTTCTATTTGAAACAATGTGTTCAATCTTTGCAACTTAATAATGGTGTGACTACAAATCTCAAGTGGAGGGCTAGCCTAATTTCTATACAAAAAGTATAGGATTGTTGACATTGCATAAAATAGAGTAGAATGTTATTGTTCATAAAAAAAAATTATGTAAAATAAGCTCATTGGTAATGTGAACAATTCATACATTGTATTGAATATATTGACATCAAGAGGTCTTTGAAACAAATAAAAAATTTGATTATATCTCACACACATTGTTTATTTAAATTTAAAAATAGGAAGCACTTGATTAAAGATCCTATAGACCTGTAAGAGATAATCCTGTAGCTGTAGAGCTTGGTGAGGATCATTTATTGTCACACAGAATTGTCTCTATGACTATCACATAAGAAGAAAAGTAATATCTCTCTCGCGAATTTCTCTATATTCTGTACAATATATATATTTTTAGATACTATTTGTATATTTTTTAGGACAATACTTTGAGAAGTGAATTAAGGTTTTTGCATTTAATTTATTGTAAATTTGGAATAGAACACTAAGAGCAAGTAATTTTTATGACAGGTAATACTGGACAATTCCTTGTTGGCATATTAAACTACTTCAGATAATCAATAACTACACTATATTGATCATGACCTTGGCTGAGGTGCAAGGTTTTAAAATATCCTTGCACAATTATTTACTTCAAACATTTAAAAAAGTTCTGACACAGACCAGATTATCAAAAAAATGTAAGCTGAATATGATCCCATGAAATACATATTCAAAATCATTAATTAATTCATAATATATTATAACCGGTAAGACAAGAATTATGATCAGCTGTAAATAACGATTACCGAATATGCAAATATATGAGTCATCTTACCTTTGGAAGAGTTCCTCTGTATGTACAAAGTTGCAATTTGCGAATCACTTATGAATTTTCTTATACATTCCTGATTTGTTTTATCATCTATAGCAGCCACTAGGTTTGCCGGCTCGGCTTGGCCGTCATCTTCCGGCAAAAGAACAGTGGCTGCTTTTAAAATAAAGTTTGTAAATGCTGTAAAATCAACTAGAGCCACATTTTGCGTTTCGTGGCTTGCTTCCGTGGATTCTAAAGAGTCCCCCATTTTGGGGCTAAATAAAAAGTTTAGTACATATAAAGACAAACAATTTTTAACAATTCAAACACACTGGTGAGTATTACGACGATTATTTTCTCTTCGCCACCAGTTTTTTTGCACTTTTGACCAACTGATGGTTTTGATTTAGTTTGACATTGACAGTAATTGAATGACGAATTTAGTAATGACATTTGACAGAAGAATGAAGCGCCGGTTGACATTGGCAGTGACTATCCCACTGTGTCATCCCGTGGAAAGTTTAAAATATCTTAAATAGATTTAATTAGTTTTGTTCAAATAAAATGTAGAAATGTATGAAAAATATTATACCAGACTTTTATTTTTTTTTATTAACGTTTACGAGATTTTTTATCAAACCCTTCTATTTTTCAAGTTTGATATTCAAATTTCTCGTTTTTATATTTATATGTTACAATTGAAAATTACAATACATTACAAATCACATACTGTTCCAATATTTTTATTAGTGAAAACTTTTCCTTTTCCCTTTTCAATAACTTTATTTTTGACCTCATTGCAAGTTTCTGTTGCCAAATTTACACATTTATCCAATTTTTAGATTAACATAATCTTCACCTCGCACTTCTCACAGAGTAACTGTCAGTCCCGAGTAGTTTGTGATAATGCTCTTTAAATTATATTCCCAAATTCAGATGTGATATAATCGGCTTTGTATTAGTCTGAAACTGGGACAATACTCTTTACAATCTTTAATGAGAATTAACTGAATGAGAATAATACTATCATATAATTCTACCTGTTATTGACAATTTTATATAGGTAAATACTTTGACTGTTCACAGCACAACCTTACAATGTGGAAGCGTGTTGTGTATATAGAAATTGATTTCTATACTAACGAATAGTTGTTCATAAGAACAGTATTTTAAATGCAAAATTGTGTGCGCTGGGACAGATAATATTAGAACATATTATATACTTACCACATAAACGTTTATACGCGTATAACTTGCCCCACAATATATCAATGTTTGTTGGGGTAGTTTCACTAAATAATAAATTACATTCCTGTAATTTTTTTAAACAATTGTTAAACGTGTTGCATACCTTTAGGCTCTACATTACCCAATTTATTTTTGTCCCAAAGTGTACATCGTCCATCCGTCTACCAAGTTTAGGCAGAGAACTATAGGCAACATCGCAGATAGACCGGTTCTTGTCACCCGACGGTGTCTCCTCTGAATCAGCTGTTTATCGTATGATATGTACGGGTAATACTAATGTAAGGTGAGAGTGGTGTGATAGGTATTCTTTTGTGTTGATTGTGAAACATTAAACAAAGACATTGGCATTGGGCGAAATTTAGTTAAGATTTACGGTAAGTACTTTGATAGTACAATAAAATTAACATTACTTTGATTAATCAATATGAAATATACCTATCTATACTAAAGATAGGGAATGAAAATCGATACACTCTGGGAGGGTAAATGAGATTAGGAAATCACTGTGCCCTGTCCCTTTTAATCAATAATTTATTTAGCAAATTTAATTTAATTGTAAAAAACAGTCCATAGTTTTTGTTATTAATTTATAAGATATAATTTCAAAGGAAAGTTAACTACCCTTGAGATTTTATTGCTCTGATTGTTTCGTGTGATTACAAGGGCATCAGACCACGATACCGGCTTTTTTATATGGCAAAAATTAGTCAAAAACTAAATTGAAATTAGTGTTTTATTGCTAGATATCTTTTAGTGTTTATTTTAATGTCTTCGTAGTATGGAAGCTAACTTTATTTTAAACAATAGTGTTATGGTATTTCTGTATAGTATAGGGGGCAAATTCATGTGTATGTGTTTACTACTATTGTAGTAAATAGCATGTTGTTAAAAATAATAAATGTTTGAATTTTAATATTTTTAATGTAACTTCCTTCTACATTTATTGAACATAGGCTCTAGTCTAGGCTATCTTGGCCGGTTTTTGTATAGTATTTCATTATATTCAGGGTTTGAAGATATCTATACGTCAAAAACAGGTAGTACAGTAGGCGGTTCTGTAGACTAACGCGGTGCTTTGTAAATTAAGTAATTTTGTTATTTATTTTTTATATTTAAACAAATTAAATAAATTATTATGTATGCTCCTAACGCCACCTGTTAATGTATTAACTAAGCTTACGTTGTTTACTTATGACAAACCTTAAATTCAGACCGAATATTAATAATAAAATATAAATAAATACCATTTGAAAGTAAATTTAATTATTATATAAACTAAATAATGTTTAAAAATAATAATTGTGTTATATGAAATTATTTTATAACGAGAATCATTATAAAAATTTTAACAGATGATTCAATATTATTATTAATTGATGACATTTATGACTTCATGGAGAGTAGTAAAAAGGCTGCCAGATGATTTTTTTTAATTCAATATCAGTAAACATGTAAGCATAATATTAGTAAATATTAAGTAAGTATATCAATATCAAAGTATTAAGATATTTTAGCCCAGGGGGATCCTTGTCGTAATTCGCCGTTCGTGAAATAGCACCACTCTAGTCACCGATGGGGAATTACGTGAACAGTTAAAGAAAGAGAAACTAGAAATCAAAAATCGCCGGAGGCCAATATATACTTTTGCTCTTGCTCAGGTGGATCCCCGACGTAATTCGCAGTTCGTGAAATTCCACCACTCTAGTCTCCGACGGGGAATCACATGAACATAATTCAGTGATTATCCGAATAATACAATGGCCAAGCAGATCATAATATATGTACATTTTTGATTGGCTTACAAATGTTAAGAATTCCGGTTGAGTTTACCGAAAGTACAAGCTGAATATAGCGGCAAATGTCAACTATGAAATAAAATATTTTGGTTAGGCAGTGTTGGAATGTTTTCTTGGCAACACTGCTAAACCGAAATTTTTTGTTCTATGTTTGATATTTGTGGCTATCATCAGCTTGTACTTTCGGTAAACTCAACCAGAATTCCCTAAATTTTTCATAGAATTGAATAAAAATCTCTTTTTTCCTAAGCTGACTCAAAATTCCCTGGATATAGGGAAAATTCCCTAGTAGGTCTGGTAACATAGGTGAAGCGATGCCAAGAGCTTCTATTTTATGACGCTACCCGTGGCGACTCTATCTTGTGGCGATAGTTCCGTGACGCTTCCCTTTGCATTTTATTGTAGATAAGAGCAAAAAGTAATACAACGCCAATATAAGCTTTGCTTCAAAGGGTCAATCGCAAATATCGAACATGGAGAACCAAGAGGTAAACTTTCTTACTTATACATTAAAAATATACAGATCGATTGGGAAAAATCTTAGCAAAACATAACGTCAATCAATTTCATCTTCAAAAAAAGATAGAAAAATAGCCAGTTAATGAGAAAGGGACTTGTTAAGTATTAAAAGTGTAAACTTCTCACTCTTGGATACTTATAGTAACACTTAAGCTGCCATTTCACGTTTTTTGAAACGAAAAAAGTCAGTACTTACCACTGGTTTTATTTTGAACTGTTAGAGTAGTGTTTTAAAACAAATTGTAGGTTTCGTGTTTCAGGTTATCCCCTTTAACCGACAAAAGGGATTTTTAAATATTGTGTTTTTGAAGCGAAGTTTCTAAAATATACTGGCGTTGTATTACTTTTTTCCTCTACAGTAAAACGATAAGACGAGTGCCACGGAAATAGGGCCACGGAAATAGCGCCACGAGAAGAAAGAGGCACGGGTACCGTCACAAAATAGCGTTTCTTCACATCGATTTACTAGTCTCGATCAATTCGTTTCTATAATAGTGATCATTATATTTATTGTAAGTAGTTATAGTCTACTGTACTGCCTTCTTCTTCTTCAAGTGCCCTGTCCGTTGCGAACGTTGGCTATTAACGTGGCAATTTTGATCTTGTTTGCGGCGCTTCTGAATAGTTCGACCGATGTGAGCCCGAACCACTTCCGCAGATTTTGGAGCCACGAGTGTCTTCTCCTGCCTGGCCTCGCTTACTGTCTATTTTTCCCTGGACAATCAATTGTAGCAGACTGTACTTATCGTTATCCATACTGGTCCAGCTAAACATAAAGAAAAGACTAAGAACACAAATAACAGAACAGATAATAAGCTATTTTGGACATGTGCTTCGAAGAAATGGTCTTGAAAAACTTACCATCCAGGGAAAAGTAGAAGGCAAAAGAAGTAGAGGTAGATCTCCTACACGATACACGGACCATATTGTTGCTACCATTGGCGCTCCATTGTCAGAAAAATTACCTAACAGCTTCATGATATCACGATACCTGCATCAGGTTAACGACTAAGAAGAAGAAGAAGTACTTATCGTGTCTCAAAATGTGGCCTAGATATTCAAGCTTTCTTTGTTTAATTGTATTCACGATCTCTTTCTCCTTTCCGATTCTTTGGAGTACCTCTATGTTGGTGACATGTTCGGTCCAGAATATACGAAGAATGCGTCGGTACACCCACATTTCGAATGCTTCTAGTTTCCTCGTTACCGTCTCCGTCAGCGTCCAGGCCTCCACGCCATACAGCAAGATCGGAAAAATGTAGCATTTAACTAGACGTAGTTTTAGGGGAAGAGACAAATCCTTCCTTATGAGGAGCTTTTTCATATTGCTAAATGCTGCTCTAGCTCGTTCTATTCTCGCCTTAATTTCTATGGTCTATTCCCATTTTGCATTTACGTTGGTGCCAAGGTACACATAAGATTCTACATGATCAATTAGTATGTTACTTATCCGTAATTGTCGAGCATCCCACTTTGTCTTCTTGAAGTTGAGGCTCAGGCCGTATTCCTCACTAACTGAATAAAGTCTTTCCATTACTTGTTGTAATTCGTCTATGGTACTGGCAAGGATCACCGTGTCGTCGGCATATCTTATATTGTTCGTTAACTCGCCGTTTATTTTTATGCCCTCATTTGCATTTTCCATACATTTGTTAAATATTTCCTCGGAATACATATTGAGTAGGAGTGGGGATAATATACACCCCTGACGGACACCTCTTTTGATCTGCACGCTTTCAGTGAGTTCGTTGCCAATTTTTGCTCTTGCTGTTTGACCCCAGTATAAGTTTGCCACAATTCGAATGTCCTTGTCGTCAATACCTGTCTTTCGCAGAATACCTATCAAT